TTTGAATTTGTTTTCTTCAGTGCAAATCTATTATTTCATTAATTTGGTTGTTGGCAATTACTCCTTAGTTTCAAACTTCTAAAATATGGCTAATTTAATACATTAGGCTCTGCATCCCACTAAAGCCCCAGGAGGCCACCAGTAGACCCACAGTACAAAATTTTTGTGAGGAATACCATCTGAATGTAAGCATCTCATTCCACTTGCTTTAAATATTACAGTATTTTTTAAAAAAACTGTGGTAAATGTTGGTATATTAACTGATACATGGTGATGTGAGACAGGAATTTGATTTTAATGACAATATTTTATTTTTTGAGACCCTTTTGCCATTATTCTTGTTGGTGATTATGGTAGAAAATAGCATTAGTATCTTAGAGTATTTTAACAAATATTACGCCCTATGTATAGTACACTCTGTTATTGCCAGTTGTTGCTGAATGATACTGACTATGCCTTTGTGTAGACTTTAGTTTGAAGTGAAGTGTGGAAAATTTGTATGCTTGATAATTCCATCTTCATTCCTTTCAAATGACCAGCTTTTTGCATCTTATTTCTTTAGCAGTATGTATAGTACATACGCTGATTACATATTATAGAGAACTAGAATGCACTAGAGAACCAAAAGCATTTTTAAAATTTCTATGTCCCTTATGTGTTTTGCATGGCCATTTTATTTTATTTTTCTTTATTGATTAAGGCATTACATATGTGTACTTATCCTCCCATTGCTATCCTCCACTCCCACCCCCACTACTCATTTCTCACCCCTCTAGTGTCTGTGTCCATTGGTTAGGCTTATATGCGTGCAAACAATTCCATTGGTTGATCTCTCTGCCTTACTCCCACCCTCCTGTGCCTTCCCTCTGAGGTTTGATGGTCTGATTGATGCTTCTCTGTCTCTGGACTTGTTTTTGTTCATCAGTTTATGTTGTTAAATATATCCAACAAATGAATGAGATCATGTGATATTTATCTTTCTCTGACTGACTTATTTCACTTAGCATAATGCTCTCCAGGTCTATCTATGCTGTTGCAAATGGTAGGAGTTCCTTCCTTTTTACAGCAACATAGTATTCCATTGTGTAGATGTACCACGGTTTTTTAATCCATTCATCTACTGATGGGCACTTAAGCTTTTTCCAAATCTTAGCTATGGTAAATGGTGCTGCTATGAACATAGGGGTACATATATCCTTTCTGATTGGTGTTTCTAGTTTCTTAGGATGTATTCCTAGAAGTGGGATCACTGGGTCAAATGGGAGTTCCATTTTTAGTTTTTTGAGGAAACTCCATACTGTTCTCCAGAGCGGCTGCACCAGTCTGCAGTCCCACTATCAATGCACGGGGGTTCATTTTTCCTCCACATCCTTGCCAGCAGTTGTTGTTTGTTGATTTGTTGATTTGTTGATGATAGCCATTCTGACAGGTGTGAGATGGTACCTCATTGTCATTTTGATTTGCATCTCTCTGATGATTAGTGACTTTGAGCAAGTTTTCATATGTCTCTTGGCCTTCTGTATGTCCTCTTTCGAAAAGTATTTATTTAGGTCTGTTTCCCATTTTTTGATTGGATTGTTTATCTTCCTTTTGTTAAGTTGTATGAGTTCCCTGTAAATCTTGGCCTGGTACTGACACAAGAACAGACATATAGACCAATGGAATAGGATAGAGAACCCAGAAATCAACCCAAACCACTGTGCTCAATTAATATTTGACAAAGGAGGCATGAGCATACAATGGAGTCAAGACAGTTTCTTCAGTAAATGGTGTTGTGCAAATTGAACAGATACATGCAAAAAAATTAAACTAGACAACCAACTTACACTATACACAAAAATAAACTCAAAATAAATAAAGGACTTAAACGTAAGATGGGAAAGGAAAACCATAAAAATCTTAGAGGAACTCACAGGCAGCAAAATCTCAGACATATGCCGAAGCAATATTTTCACCGATACAGCTCCTAGGGCAATGGAAACTAAAGAGAAAATAAACTAATGGGATTGCGTCAAAATAAAAAGCTTCTGCACAGCAAAAGAAACCATGAACAAAACAACAATAAAGCCCACTACATGGGAGAACATATTTGCCAATATTATCTCTGATAAGGGTTTAATATCCAACAGTTACAGGGAACTCATACAACTTGCATAGTCATTTTAAAGAGATTGAATTTGACGTTCCCTGTTATACAATGTGTCTTCACTCCACTGGTGCTGAAGAATAGGCTTAACCTTGCTCTTCTAAGTAGGATATAGCCAGCTATTATTATGAAGTAATTTTATTTTCTTATAAACTTTGCTGCTCCAGAATAGATTTAGTGACTACCAAATCCATACTTTGAATTCTTAATTTTACTTTGTTTATAACTCTCTTATGTCATATCATGTTTTGCTATGTGTATAATTTTTTCTCTCATTTGATTGATTTTAGCTTTCCTACTGAATTGATTCTAAGACTTTGTAGGGATAGTTAGTATTTTTCTTTATTATTTTAGCACCTGGAGTGCCTCACACTCTGATTTAATATAATTATTAAAATTTTCGTGTAGCTGGTTGATATTATGTAAAGATATCGGTATTTCTAGGCTTTTTCCCTACATGAAGGCATAATATGGTATGTTTAAATCAGTACTAAACTAAAAATGTTGTTTCTAGATCTGCAATCACTGACTTTGGGGAAGACAAGAAATGAAGAAATAAAGAAAATTCAAGTACATGATCTCAAAATTCCTTTTATAAATTTAAATTTATAAAATTTATTCATTTATACATTTTCCATATGAAACACTGTAGACCTACTTTTGCCCCACTTGGCATTTGCTGTAATGGTCAATTAAGAATTAAAAAGATTATTTACTTTAATATATTTCACAACTCACTTAAATGTTTACATTTAACATAAGCCTTATTGATATGTAAACTATTTAAACTACTTTATTTGTACTTAGAAATGTATTAAATTGTTCATATATCACATACATGGTAGATAGCAATTCTGAAAGCTGGGAGCAATTCAGAACAACTGGATTGGAAATTTGGGTTGAAAATTTGTTGCCACAATTTTCTACATATATATTCTAATTGAGGATGTATTTATTTTTTATGTGTTACTATAATAGCTTGTGTACCTGCAAGAGGAGTATTATTTCAGCAATGGAGTTTAAGTTATCTCTTAAATTGTGTTTACCTAGCTCATAAACTTCTTTCTTTAATTGCCTTTAAGTAATTTAAGAATTAAAAAAATAAGACTTTCAAGTAAAATTTATTATTTATAATAAAATCAACTATATTAATTCAAATATGTCACTTCTAATATGATTAGGAATATTTGTTTCTTAAGCCATTAATAAATACAACTATTTTTATGGAAATCAGTAATAGATAACTGGGCTGTAGCTCTTAAGTTTAGGATATTATATAAGGAATAAGTAAGAAACATTTATTTCAGAAGAGGAAAATATAGTTTGCTGATTCTTACGAATTTTTTTCTTCAAAGTAAAGGTGTTTAAAGAAACTTTATAGTATTTAATGTGTTTATACTTCAATTTCTTGAATACATCAGATATTTGTATTTGTGCTCTTTAGTCCAATTACTATGTAGTCCAAGTTATCATGTGTCACAGGAAATGTTGCATGTTTTCCATATCATTATCAAGAGTATTTCACTTTGAGTAAAACAAACCAAAAAAAGTAACTATTTTTTTTTACTTGGTAAAGTACTTTTAATTTATAAATAAAAAAATGTACTTTTAGGAAATACCTGTATAAAATTTATTTCAAAAAAATTTTTACTTGTAGTATTAATATGAATATCAAGACATCTTTGACTTGTTTTTTAATATCTTGTTACATATTTTTGCAATGATTTTTGAAACATCTTCTAATAAAATCATCTTATAAATACATTCATTCTGTTTTCCCACCCTTTATTTCAGTTTCTCTTTACATGTTTTGTCTTGATTTATTTCTGCTGTAGATCAGCTCCTTCCATAGTGTTGGGGTGAGGTGGTGGGAGAGATGATCTTAGTGCAGGGCTTCCTGATCTTATTTCTCTCACTCTCACCACCAGAGAAGGCATAAACTGCTCCCTTAGGTCTAGTATTTTTAAAATCCAAGGTAAAAACATGATTGGTTTATCTGGAATTAGGTCCTCACTCCTAAGCCAGTCAATAACAAGGACAAGACACCTAGAGTTGCACCATAAGGTGCACATCTGTGAGGCTGAGAATGTTCAGAGGGAAATTGTTATCATGGGTTGACTATATTTGTCTTCCTATTGAATTTCTCTTGTTGAAGATCATTTGTGTATGACCTATGCTGGGCTTCCTTCCTGCATAATCTTATATGTGTTCACAACCACCCACAAAGTAGCTACCATCACCCCAGTTCACAGCATAGAAAGCTGAGACCCAGAGAGGTTAAATTACTTGCTTCTGTCTTAATGCTAGTGCTAGTCTAGACTCAAAGCCTGAGAGAACATGCACTGGGTCTGCATTTTGCTCTCCAGTAGTTTTAAGTATATCATATTGTTGTTCAACCAATCTCTAGAACTCATTTTGCAAAATCAAAATGCTCTCTCTGTTATTGCATGTATAAATGTATCTCTCTATATATGACTTTACATAGGGAGCCATTATATATAGGGAGAGAGAGAGAAAGAGATATTAGATGAAGAGAGATAATCCTTAAGGTATTAACAGTGGTTAACTTTTCCATTTTATTCTTTTTAAGATTTTTCTTTAATGAATGTGGAACCACTTTTTATTAAAAGAAGCAATAAAACTTATGTTTGTATTTAGACATCTACATCCATAACCCAACAAACTGAATGTTTTTATTTCATTATTTAATGATGAAATGGTAAGAAGTAATAACAGTAGGTATCCTATAACAAAAACAAAACACATATTTTTTTCTTTTTATATAATTTATTATGTCATACAAAAAAACACAACATGTATGTTCAATTCTTTGCTTTTAAGAACTTGCCTTACAGCTCTAGTTTTGGCAGCACATATACTAAAATTGGAATGATACAGAGAAGATTAGCATGGACCCTGCGTAAAGATGACATCCAAATCCTTGAAGGGTTCCATATTTTTTGAGCTGCCAAATGGACCTAGAATACCATCCTGCCACAGGTATCAGGGCTACACAGATCTTTGGGTTCTCACTGGGAGTGACACACCAGAGGAACTATGCACATGCTCCCACTACCCCAAGCATCTGAAGCAGACAACTGAGGGACCAGATCCATGGGAGAAGGGGATATAACTCAGAGCAGAGACAATAAAGGCGTGAGACTCAAGGCAGACCTAGCCTCTGGGCTAACAGTTTCTGGACCATTGCCCTGATAAGGTCTTCAACCTCTCAAACCCCAAGCAAAGTGCCCAGGGCCAGAGAGAGACAGCAAAAATGGGGAGACAAATAAACAACTCTCCAAGGAAAGAAAAGAAGGAATTGCCAGAAAAGAAACTAAATGAAATGAATGCATGCAATATGTCAGAAAAAGAATTCAGAGTAAGGGTCATACAGTTCATAAACCGGATGGATGAAAAATCAACAACTTATGTAAGAATCAAGATGAAATAAAAAATGACATAGCTACAATAAAAAACAAAATGGAAGGTTTCAACAGTAGACTAGAACACACAGTTTGATGACTGTGGCTCTGTATTTAGTTTTGAAATCAGAAAGCATGAGACCTCAAATTTTGATTTTTGTATTGAAGATTGTTTTGCCTATTTTAGGTCTTTTGAGTTTCAATATGAGTTTTAGGATGGGTTGTTCTGCAAAAAAACATCTTTTTTGATAGTGATTGTATTGTATCTGTAGATTGTTTTGGGTAGGTTGACATTTTAGCAATATTAAGTATTTCAATCCATGTACATGAGATGTCTTTCCATTGATTTGTGTTAAGTTTTTCAGTAATATTTGTAGTTTCAGTGAACAAGTCTTTCATCTCATTGGTTAAGTTTATTTAAGATAACTATTTGTTATATATTTTAAATGTAACTCTAGATTTCTCATTACACAGTGCTGTCACCTTAAAAGATGTGCTATATAAACTGATTTTTATTGAACCTCTAATAAATACTTTTAACCTACTACACTTATGCCTCTCTTCTTTATAAGCAGGATGCTATGTCTATATTTCATTATTTCTTAATTTTATTATGTTGCAACCATCTCTTATGTTGCAAGTGTTACAGAATGGTAATTTTGTCCACCAGCTCTAGCAGAGCCAAATAATAAATGCAGAGAATTGCAGTGGAATAATATTGACTATTTTATTTTATTGTTTAAAGTATTACAAAGAGCAGTACATATGTCTCCTTTTTTTTCCCCTATTGACCCTCCCTTGGCCTCCCCCACCCCCTGGAACATGCCCTCCCCCCCCCTCCCCAGTGTCTTGCTTCCATTGGTTATGCTTATATACATGCATACAAGTCCTTCGGTTGATCTCTTACCTCCCCCCGCTACACCCCTCCCCAGCCTTCCCACTGCAGTTTGACAGTCTGTTCAATGCTTCTCTGCCTCTGTATCTATTTTTGTTCATCAGTTTATAATGTTCTTTATTATCCATAAATGAGTGAGATCATGTGGTATTTTTCTTTCCCTGACTGACTTATTTCACTTAGCATAATGCTCTCCAGTTCCATCCATGTTGTTGCAAATGGTAAGAATTCCTTCTTTTTTTATTAGCAGCGTAGTATTCCATTGTGTAGATGTATCATAGTTTTCTAATCCAAATAGCTAAGATTTGGAAACAGCCTAAATTCCCATCAGCAGATGAGTGGAATATTGACTCTTTTATTATGAGTGGCACCATACAAGAGAAGAGGAAGCTAAGGGTCAAAAGCTCAGATTCCTAGATAGAGTAGTGTAGGTTACAGATTATACAGGGTAAAATCACAAGGCATTGTGGGTCAGGGGTTCCGGGTCTTGCTGGGAGCTATTTGGAGGGAGGTGAGGTAAGGGTGATGAGTCTTTTCTTTAGGTCTTAAGGACAACTCTAAGATTGTTTCCAGCTTCCCTCTGTTTGGTTTCATGAGAAAGTAGCCAGGGAGTCCTTCCACCTTACAGCTCAGGAACTGAAACATAATTTAGGTCAAGATGTTGTCATTAGCCTGCCAGAGGATGGGGCCGTGTGACTATTAGCCAGGTCTATGCTACTGTCTTTTCCTGCCTTGGGGATTTCTGATTATCGATGGGAAAGGCTAGGTCTATACATATACACACACACATAGAGAGAAATGATTTCTAGAACTTAATCAAGGTCATAAGAACCCTGAATTTCATAATGTTAGTCACCCTAATAATAACTTTTTAAAGATAAATAAGTTATTAAAATAAAAACAACTGTAACTGTTGAGCTTATTTTGTTATAAAATATGCCATGGTTTTGAACTGCTAGAGCTATAAAATCAAACTAAAAGAAAATGAATTATTAAAAATATATGGTGGCCAAAAGTAAATATCCTTTCTGATTATTGCTATTAAAATACATTTTAAATGATAAGAGTAATTTTGCTATACATTAGCTTCTTTAATATTTTAATTAAAATTATAAATTAGAGGAAGCATTTTACAATAAAGTCTACAAAAAACAAAATATATTAAAAGCCACTCGCTGTATAGATCTATATTGGAACTATGCAATGCAAATCAAATACAATCCCTTCCTACATGTTTTCATCATGTTAATTGAAGAGAATATGAAATGAGAAAAGTTAATAACAAAGTTTTAAGGGTTTTTTTTTCTTTTTAAGATAACAAGGGACTAGAAAGAAGGAGGATAGCACAAAGCTGGAGAACAAAAAGAAACAGGATAAATTAAAAAAACATAGAAAAATAAATGATGAAAAGAAAAAATAGGGATATAAACAGTAAAAGAGGAAAGTGGAAGGGTATAAATGAAACTATTAGGAAAAAACAACAACACATGATAAGAGGAGAACTAAGCCATACAATATGCATAATAAACTCAAAGACATTGGTATACAGATATGTGGAAAAATGAATAGCTAGAGTTAATTATTAAGGAACAGGGAGGGGAAAAAACATAAAATGAGGACATGAGAGAAGAATGCAAAGGAAGAGAGGGATATTCCAAAAGTTACTATATATCTTACTTGAGAACTGACTTCATTGACATGGTCACCAAAACATCACACAAGAGATGAGGACAAAACTGGCTCTATGTGAGGGAATCAGGATGGTTTTAAAGAGAAAACAGTATTTAAAAGGAATATTTCATGATATAAAGGAATTCTCTAGTCAATTAGTTCTGGTGAAAAACTATAGGTAGAAGAGCAGCGTGTGCAAAGGTTTTAGAGACCAAATCCAATAATGTGATTGATTCCCCTTGTTCTCTTGACAATGCAGTCTGGTCAGGGTAGTGTCGGTTGAGAAGGCTATGCAGTCACATCTTGCAGTTGGAGGAGGTCAGAGAGGACATAGCAGTTGAACTGAGCACTGGACCCAGGCAATCAGAGGCTCTTCACACCCTCCGTGGTCCTTGGAATGTACGTTCTGCCCACCGTTCCCACAGCCAATAATTTTCAAGGACACACCAGTGAGAATAATGTGTTGAGACAGTGTATATGACCGCACCCCATAAATGCTTCTATCTAAACTTTTAAGTTTCTGGCAGGTGGGTGTGCCAGAGACAAACCTAGTGTATAAGTTCCCTTGCTTATTAACACTGCCACCTACAATATGGGGTGGCCTGCCCCTTTCTTTAGTTTCTCTTTGCCCTCTGTGTATAGGGGGTAATTTCCGATTTCATCCGGAAACTCCTGAGTTTTAAAACACCAATTACAGATCATTTTAAAGATTTCAGACATTATTCTCCAGGTAATGATGAGTAAATAATTTTTTTCTAAGCAGGAGGGTGATAGGATTATACACACTTTAGAAAGAGGACTGGCAGCTGTGTAATAGGTATTGATGGGGGAAATTACTTGAAACAGGGAGCTTAAATAAAAGATTCTTTCCATGATATTGGCAAGAGATGATGAGGCTAGAAATAAGGCCATGAAAGCTAGAAATAACAAAACATATTTAAATAAGGTAGATAAGTTGGCTATTACAAGTAAAGGGACAATGCCTAAATAGTATGGCTACTAAGTGTCTGCTTAGCTAACATGGTATGTGGTGATAGGTTTTACCTGACCAGAATGACATGAAGAATGATCTTACTAAAATGCAAATTGGATCATTTCTTGTCCTCAATGATTCTCCATTTAAAGGTAAAGGTAAAGTCCAAATTCCTTTACACAGCACAAGTAACTAATTATTTCTTTACAATCATCTCTTTGCATGCCCTCCATACCTCATTCTCTACTCCAGCCACACTGAACTATTTTTCCTTATCTAAATGTAATGTGCATATTTCCCTTGGGGCTTTTCCCCACTGCCTGGAAATATTCATTATCCATTTAACCAAGGCTTACTTGGCTTTTTCTTATAATGTTACATCCTACAAGAAGCAGTTCCTAAATACTCCAAGAATAGTTTAGGTATCACTCATATGTAATTGCATATGCCCCTGAATTTATCATTGCAGTCTAGTGTTAGTAAAATTGGCAGTTTCTAAAACATCTGGGATTTTTAAAGAAAGTATGTATCTTGTTCACTACTGAAAGTACCTGCTAAATTAACTGGGATGCCCTGTGCCTGTTTGTGCAATGCAGTTGGATATTCAACCAATTGTCAGTTATTAGATACGTTAACTTATATCCCTTTACATTTGCTTTATGTATCTTCAGCGCTGAACATCATGGTTATTTTAAATATGGCAATTGAGAATGATAAGTAGCCTCTTCCTGCCCCCTTTTTCTTTCTTTCTCTTTCTCTCCAGGTCTTTGAAAATTGCTAGGTAAACTACAGTTCCCAACTGGGATGCTGAAGTTACTGCTCTCCAATTCCATTGTGTTTCTTCCCCAGCAATAGCTACAGTGTTGCCACTTCCCAAAGAGGAAGATGGGCTGGAGGCATTTGCTGTGAGGTTTCATTTTTGTCTCTCCTTTTTCTTCTCCCCTCACCTCTCCCAGTAAAGTGATCAGCTACAGCTACAGGGTGGGTGGAGGAAAAAACAAAAAATTTGATTTACTTTTTCTGATGGTTTCCAGGTGATTCTGTTGTCTTTGCTTCCCCCACAATGTGTGCAGGCCATTTTTGTCATGGTAACAACAGTTTGCACATCAAATAATCAGACATAAAGCAGAATGTCACGTGGAAAGTTATGCAAGGAAAAGCTTCTTTTATTTTTG